GTTCTAGATGGTTTGTTTATTGTGAAGATCGTTGTTGCTATTTTGCCTAGTTAAGTAATAGTGGGCAACGAGACTTCTAATGTTTTTATGTTTGCAAAAAGCATGTTTATCAAAAGCAATTTAAGAGTTGGTCTAAATTAGTTTGTAACATGAAATCGTTGTGACAAATCTCCTCTATAATTAGTTCATGAACAACATAATCAATTATGGGAAGCAAAGTACGATTGATGTAACGACCCAGAAAATTTTTCATTTTTAATTAATCAAACACATTTCCAATAACCATGAAATCCAGAACAATTGTTTTCAAATCCACATTCATTACAGCTTTATTTAAAAACATCAGAGTGTCCCATAAAACATTGGTGAGAGAGTGCACGCTGCGCCATTAAGCATTACCCTTGCCCTTGGGCTCAGATGTACCTGAAACAAATCCACAAACTATAAGCTAATGCTTAGTGAGTTCCCCGGAGCATACCACACACACACAAGCCACATAACACATATCATGTTAGCTATAAAGCTATCTCTACCACATAACATATCATGTTAGCCATAAGTTATCTCTACCATATAACATTAGTTATAAAAGCTGTCTCTACCACATATCCCTGCATAAGGATGCCATGGGCTTCCTCACATGGTCTTACACCTAAGTGTCATGGACTCTCCCTATGCTCTTTCCCTGCCGGACAACCATGGGCTCCCCAACATGGTCTTACATCCAAGTGTCATGGACTCCCCCATGGTCTTTCATGCAAATATCACAAAATCACTAGCATACAACTTATCATAAAGTTAACTATCATACCACAAATCTCTACTACAGCTAGTGTACCACATATCATAAAATGGGTCGGCTTGGTGTCTTAGACCCATTGGTATGGTAAGAAGACTTACCTTTTGTCTGATGAATCTGAAAGTTGCTCTCCTGACAGTCTGTAACCACTTGCACAGAATAATAACATTACCCAATGTTAGAATTTCACACATTCAATTGGAAACCCAAACTTCAAGTCCCTCCATAAGGCCCAACTATTCTTTCCCTTCTAATGGACCCAAAGTACATGTTAATAAATCATTAATGGGGCTCATGGCCTAATAGAGCCCAGTCATCACATCCATGGCCCACAACATATAAAATGGCCTGATATCCCCAAAATATAACCAGATCCAATAACCCATTGAGGCCCAACAGGTCAAAGGCCAAAAATAGATCCAAGTCCATCCGAAGTGCGTACACTTAGCGTATAACCCTGGTAAGTGCAACGTACTGGGTCTATGGGGCTTACGCGCAACATACGCTAGGTTACGCCCAGCATACTAACAGATTAAGCACTTTCTCCATTAAGTTCTTGATACTCGATTCCTTTACGTCTAAAGGTTGGATCTAAGCTTATTAAGACGACCTATGGCATAAAGTTGGCAACTTTTTGCCTTTGCATGTCTCATATGCTCCTAACACATCCATTAAGACCTTTTTAAGGTTCTTAACCCATGCATGAGGTCAAAACACCCACCAAGACTCCATTCTTATGTTGCAAACAAACCAAAGGACCTTAGATCTGTCATTTCCATCCTCTGGATTTGCTCAACTCACAAGAGGAGATCCAAAATCAACAAAGGGGACAAAAGTAGAAAACCCTAGCTAGATCTAGTGATTAAAGTGGAAGGTGCAAGCTTTATACCTCTAGAAGCTCCTCAAGGTCGACTAGATGCAGATTCTTGAAGCCCAATGGCACTCCAAGATTCCTTAACAACTTCTCCTTTTTAAATGCCGCTAAAAAGGCCACCAACACCCTCTCAAAGCTCAAAATGGTCTCACAAGCTCTCTCCGGAGTAGAAGGACATTCTAATACTATGGAGGCTCTCTAGGGTTAAGTCCAAGGGACTTAAGGACGTTTAAATATGCCTCATGTCCAAAAATTAGGGTTTGGTCATCTAGCACGTACGCCCAACGTACTTCTGGTATGCCCAACGTATGTGCTGCCCCTCCGCGATCATCCATGCATAGTACGCTAAGCGTACTCATAAGTACGCCTAACGTACTTTAGGGACTATTATGCTAAAATTAGTTTTCTTCAAGGTTTCAAAGTAATACCTGAATTGGAGTGTTATAATTGAGGATTGTCATGTGTAATCCTTCAAAATTAGAACGTAATGCCATCAAGAACTGAATCAAATGTTTTTTTTCTCCTTGCAATGTAAGGTCGAAATGACTTAAACTCAACAAATCTTTTAAGAGCCAATAGATCAATAAATAAGACATAGCAACATAGAAATCTCGAACACACATAATATTTTGTTAGAGGCCTCAAACTTTGTTGCTATATGGTATTGTTAATCAAAATTAGACTGGATGTACAGTCTATCCAAGTAATCCTAAACTTCTTTAGTGATAGTGATAATTTTGAAATTACCAGTTTCTCACATATAAAACGAAGTTTCTAGTTAGGGGCTTTCTCATTTTTAGGTTTTCATGATGTACAAATAACATAACCTAATATTTTTTTACACATAGAACAATTAGATCACAAGAACACCAATGATACAGATGTTAATGATTTTAGTGAATAAAAAAAGAGTATGCATAAGGTAAAGGAAATTTTGATGAATAAGTGAGGGGAAGATACTTTTATAATGAACCAATTCTCCTTTGATTGTTACCGAGGTGGGGGTCGTCGTCGGAGGGGGCAGCCGAGGAAGGCGGTGCCGGAGGTGATAGGTTGCTACTTAACCGTGTTGAATTGCCGACTTCTATTCTGCAACCAATTTCCATAGTTTTGATTTCCATTATAGTTTCCAAAACCATTGTTGTAGGAGGAGCAACAATGAAGGACGACAACAACAAAGGCGTAGGTTAGATGAGGGTGGAGCGGTGCAAATATGGGATATGGAGAAGGGTGGAGCGTTACTGGAAGTTAGGGCAAGGAAAATAAGAAGGTGTTTGGAAAAATAGAAAGAAAATGCCAAATTAGGGAAAGAGTTGCTTGGTTCTCAGTCAACGATCTTTTTTCAAGGGCCGAATCTGACTCCATGGTTGAGTAAAAGGCATACCATCATGATATCAAACGCACTGACTCAGATATCACAAATATGACATATATGAACTCTTACTGGACCAGTAAGAGTTATATCAAAGAAGGCCTAACTTAAACATTCATATGTTGACGTATAAACCAATATTATCTTATAGTCTAATAAATATCTTTTTGTAACATGTCATATTCTCATTCATTTTGCTATATGTTTTTTTTTTTTTGTGGTTATTTTAATTTTTTTTTCTATGTCATTTTATGTTTTTATTTTATTTTATTAAATTCCATATATTATTTAAATATAATAATTATAATAAATATAATAATAAATGACTATCAATTTAATTAATACAACTTTCCTTTTTATTTTTAAATTTTCTAAACTAAAATCCAATTATTTTATTTATATTATTGATTTAAATTTAATATATAAAAATTTCAATTTCAATAATATTTTTCTTGTTTTCGTTATAATACTTATTTTTTTCAAATAAACCAATATACTACAGTGGATTTACGACTAATGTTTATAAAATGAATTATCGCGCTTCAAATAGGGCTGTCAAATCGGGCAGTCGTGTTGTGTTTTTGTCTGACATGATACGACACGACAATGTTTTGTATAACACGAACACGATATAACACGATGTCGTGTTTTTTTCATTAACATGAAAACGAACAAATTAAAACACGACAACACAACACGACATGACAAATATAATATTACATAACTATTAGTGTATTTTATTTATACTTAAAGATACATAAGCACGATAAAAACGACAAACACAAAAAACCCGACAACCATTAGCGGAATTAGGATCAAAGTAAAAGGGTATCCCAATTATTATTATTATTATTATTATTATTATTATATAATATACAATAAGATCTTGAAATGAGATGATCAAGAAAAACTTTATGTTGACTAAACCAGCATTAGAGTGATATGTATTTTACAAGTTTTGACCATCATTTACACTTAAGTAATCTTTAGTTTGTAATTACTACCTACCACTTGTCACTACAAATGCATCCACCCTCTACTTCTAGAGGAAAGAACTATCATTTAAAGCATGGCACATGTTACATAAAGAAAATTTACAACTTCTTTTGTCAATAATATAAATCCGGCATTCGGCAAGCAACAAGTACAGTCTAGAAACAAAAAGAAGAAATCATTCTTGGCTAAGTCAACTAATTAAGTCTAACTACCAACACCAAATCTATGGATAACAAATTAGTGACTTGAAATTTAAACTCAAAGCAATAACCCTAGATTTAAGCTCGGTTGGTATGACAATATAGACTGAGATTTGGAAGTGAAATCAGAGCAACGAAGACAAATAATTCGTGTTAAACATATAGATAGATGTCGATTTCAGTTACATTAACAAAATTAAATCAAAAGAAAACGCTACTACTAGATCGAAAGGATATCGAGGGCTTCCTTAGTACGTACCCTTTGAAAATCAGGGGGTGCAACACCGGGGAGATAGAATGATTTAGAAGATGAGATGGAGAAGACGATCGAGATGAATAGAGTAAACCAGATGGGGTGTCGTTCCAATTCCGAGATCTCGATCGAGTGAGGTAGTATGTAGGTAGAACGAATCCATGTTTTGAGATCTCCGAAAATATTTACCCTACTAATATTCTTTTGAGGGGCATCCCGGGATACCCCGGGATCCAATGTGCCTCTGCCTATGCCGACAACCACATGTTAATCGTATCAATTTCGTATCGATTAATGACCAAGAACACGACACGATACGTCATCGTGTTTTTTAATCTTGACACGGACACGACACGAACACGAATTCGATTTTTGACTTCGTCCCGATTTCGTTTCATTTCGTGTATTTTTATCGTATCATGTTATAAATTGACACCCTAGCTTCGAGCACGTTAGCCCTCAACAATTGATTTCAACTAAATTTCCAAACAACCTCTAAATCAAAATATTTACATTAAAAAAAAAAAAAAAAAATCATCCCTGCAAAAACCATCATACCAAGTTATCGAACATAGTTTCTTATCCATAGATATCCTCAAACCACTAGTAGTTCCAGGGAATTTCAACGAAAACCGAAAATGTTACTATTCAACAGTTTATCAGTTTCAGTCCCAACAATTTCAACGATTCCCTCGATTCCTAGTCATTTGAGTAGATTTGGCCGGCATTACCATCACCTCCTACGCGTTCCCCGGCCATTTTCTTCGAATCCGCTACCCATTGTTACAAAAAACCAAAACCCCTTCCTCTCTTCGGCCTTGGTATCAACCGAAGAAGGCAATACAGAAGTTGAATTTCAAGTGTTAACTGCCATCAACAGTATATACAACGACATCGTCATCGTAGATACAGCTGAATCACGAATGCTCCTCCTTGACTCTACTCGTATGCTCTTTTTATATCTCTCCGTGTGTGTTTCCGTACATTTATCTGTCGATAATGCAATAGTTTCATCTGATTGATCTAAAATCATTTAGGTCGTATTGTTTACGACTATCTCGAATTCAACTTTCGTTTCAGGCGCCTGTTGGGAAGATGGTGACAATGATTCGAATCTCTTATAATGTACTTCCAGTTTTTGTTACCAATTCACCACTAGCATTGTGTTAAAACTCAAATGCTTATTACAAAGTATAATATGCTTTCAAATCTAGCTCCTTTCCTAAGTTGCTGTTGATGATACTGCAGATAATGTTCACAGCATCTTTATGAAAGGACAGACATGGACTGGTTCATATTGGGTATGCTCGGTTTATTGTGCCAATTCTTGGTTGTAAAGTGTTAAACAAAATGGTTTAATGTTTCATCATACTCATTGTGATTGTGTGATATTTCAACAATTTGTACACTACAGGATGAATTTGCTACCTTACCAGCTATTATTCCAGAAGGTCCAATTGCAATTTTTGGATTGGTAAAGTTTAATTGTGTTCTGTTATGTATTTAACATTAATTATCTTTATTGATCAACCAAAATTCACAGTTGAAATATGTTAAATTGCAGGGTGGTGGAACAGCTGCACATTTGATGCTTACTTTATGGCCTTCACTGCAGCTTCATGGATGGGAGATTGATGAAATTGTAATGAATCATAGCTTCTAATCGGGTGTTTAAGAAAAATGAGAATGTATTAAACATGGTGTTAAAGTGAAAATTTGGATTATTGACTATATGTCTATATCTTTTTCTTTACATATTTCAGTTGATTGATAAAGCAAGAGAACATCTTGGATTATCTGATCTTGAAAAGCATACGGAAGATGGTGGCGTTCTTCATGTCCATATTGGTGATGCACTTTCTACATCAAGTAACATTCCCGGGGGGTATTCTGGTAATTTCAAATTCTCAATCAATTAAATTTCGTTTATTTTCATTGTCGTTTCATTTGAGAATTCTTTTCAGGTATTGTTATTGACTTGTTTTCTGGTGGAGAGGTTTTGGCTCAGTTACAAGAGGTATAAACAGTTAAACACACACACACACACGTAGTCAATAGATTTTATTTACTAGTTTCTGTTGACAGGTGGAAACCTGGTTGGAAATTAATAAAAAATTGATGCCAAATGGTCGGCTCATGGTGAATTGTGGTGGCAGTAGTGATGCTATATGGGAGAAAAATTCCACCATTAATGCCATGTGCAAAGCATTTCCTGGACAAGTAAGAAGGCTATTACAAACTGATGATTTTAAATATGCAATTTTTTTTTTACCATATAGCATTATTATTAATTACTTACAACAGGTAAATTGGAAAAAGATGCCAAAAAGTGATGGTGAGAATTACCTTGCATTTACGGGTCCTTTACCGGATTTGAGCATGTGGAGTGTTGGTCTTCCTGATAGATTGAGTTCAAGCATTAAGCAATGGACCTCATGTTTTCCTTCATAATTAGGTCAGTTCCCATGTTAGATTTTGTAAATTTATTGTGGTTTTGATTTGCTATTAAATTGAACCAATTTGTAGTTTAGGTTGTGTAGTAAAGAAGCAAGATTTTTAAGTGTATTGTTTATAAAATTAATGGTGGATATCAAATTATCAAGTTTAACAACAGAAGACATGAGTAAACCTAGATTCTTTTAACTCTCCCTCAAACTTTCAGAGTTTGAACTTATTCTACAGTTGTATTCTTCTTCTTCTTCTTCAATTTCTGTTAAGATGTTCTTTTAGATTAAAATAGTAACATACTTTTAACAATAAACCTTTGTTTCTCATGTTTCTTGTAAACCAACAAATGTAATCTTAGCTAAAAGAGGGTATTAGAATTGCTTCACATGGATCTTTTTTGGTCATTGTCTAGATTGGCTTGACCTTGGTTTGAGTCATAAACATGAGACCGGTGGATTTTTTTTTGGAAAAAAATAAATTATAAAATCATATTTGGTTGTATTATAATTTCTATACAAAGTGTTCTCTCTCTCTCTCTCTCTCTCTCTCTATATATATATATATATATATATATATATATATATGTTGTAAATAATTGATGAATAACACAAATAATTGGTGCATTTGTAAAAGTCAATACTTATAGCTAGTTAGGTAGACATGTGAAGAGTAAGATTTGCACTATAAATATCTATCTATTGTAAAAAATGTGACACAGAAATTTGAATACACTTTACAAGTGATCAAATTCTCTCCAAATCTTTCTTTCTTCTTTCTTAAAATTATAGTTTAGTATTGTTAATCTTTTTTAAATTATGTTAAATTTATAACACATTATCAACACGAAAGTTATAATTAAGGTTATTAAACAAGTGAAAATCACATCTATCTTAGTCAATGTATGTATTACTTAGTAAAAACATTATTAATTATAAGAACCTCCATCATATTAAAATAATAAAATTACTAATGAATTAATACAACTTATACATTATGGACATATGTCCTACTAACGATTTTTATTTCATATACTAACATTTCTTTATGTATTCTAATTTTATGAATACTAACATTTACATTATGCAACTAACTTTTATTTATGCATACTAACATTTACATTATGCAAGTAATTTTTATTTATATATACTAACGTTTATTTATACGTGTCAATGTTTATTTATATTTTAGATACTCTTCATAATTTTATTTAAACATTTACTAATATCTATTTATGTTTTTAATTAGTAAAATTATATCAAATAAAGTTATATATTAGTTATAAGTCTTATTAAATGATATATATATATATATATATATATATATGCAATGGTTATAAACAACAAAAGCAACTATTATATATATTTTTTACAATAAATAAACATCTTTACCTTGCTTATTTTACCCACAACAAATATTTCTCTCTTCTATCAAACAAATCAATTTCAAGAAATCAAGCTTCAAGACGATTCATCATTTTGTGATAATCATGACTATAATAGTCATGTTACTTTTCATTCCAATCCTTAACATCGAAAATAATATGGAATTTCATCTACTTTTAGGTTTGTATGCAATGTTAGCTTTACTGTTTTTTTTTTTTGTGTAATATTTATTGAAATAAATGAGTTTTAATTTTAATTTTTATATTGTTTAAAATTTATGGTTACAGTATGTCCAACATTGTAAAGCTCGAGTTTGTAGCACTTGAAGTTAGTAGGAAAAACTATGCGCCATGGATGATAGATGCAAAAATGCATCTTGAATCCATGAGAATATCAAATTTTATATATGAATTTAATAATTGCTTGACACAAGACAAGGCGAAAGCACAAGTTTTCCTTCGTAAACATATTGATAAAATGTTGAGATTTCAATATCTTGATGTTACTAATCCAACTATTCTCTAGAATCTTTTGAAAGAAAGATTTGATCATCAAAATGATGTTGTACTTCAAAATGCTAGAGATAAATGGAGAACACTGAGGTTTCTAGACTTCAAGAAGGTTAATGAATACAACTTAACTTTGTTCAGAATATGTTCACAACTCAAGTATTGTGGACAAGAAGTTACTTGTAACACTCGAAAAATTCAAGCCAATTTTAAACTTTTTAAAACATTTAGAAACCAACAGTTATTACCAATTTGTTTTCAAAACAGTTCAATATTAGAGTATTCCCCCGGAACCATATCACATAAATCATAAAACATGAGGACCGGTACGATCACGCCTTCGCCTTGCCACGGTCTCCTGAAGTACCCGAAACAAAACACTGAACTGTAAGCCTGAAAGCTTAGTGAGTTACCCCCAAAATATCGATACACATACAATCCACATAGCAATATCAACATTAGCATATCATATCAATAAAAACATAACAACATGCATTGGATCCACAACTTTACAAGCTGGACTATCCTTGGGCCCTCAATATGAGTCTGGAATGCCTACAGGGCCCTCAACTCGTATCTGGAATGCCATCGAGCCCTCAATACGAGTCTGGAATGCCTATCGGGCCCTCAGCTCGTATCTGGAATGCTCCCGAGTCCTCAGTATGAGTCTGGAATGCCTACCGGGCCCTCAACTCATATCTGAAATACTCTCGAGTCCTCAGGATGAGTCTGGAATGCCTACCGAGCCTTCAGCTCATATCTGGAATACTCTAGGGTTTGTTGGCTACCGCACGAAGCAGTACAACCTCAACCCATGCCACATAACATGTCGATATGTAACAGATAAATGCACATACAGGTAATCAATCAGTATCATAGGCAGTCCTACAGATCTACCCGACTAGCATATCAACTGGCATACATTACTAACTCAACTCAACATATCAACAACTACTAGGTTATCAAATCCAATGGGCCGATCTTGGTGCCTTAAACCCTTTAGTATAGTGAGGATAACTCACCTGGAACTACTGAAGTCTTGCAGATACAACCCCAACTGCTGGTTGACAGGTTCCCGCACTATCAACATAAAACAATACCCAATTAGTAATTGGGTTCCAAGCCTAAGTCTAACTCACACCACAAAAGCCCAAAAGTAAAATAATGGGCCAAAGTCCAACATATGGCCCAATTTTCTAAATTAGGCCCAAACCTCTACATGGTTTTTCTTTAAGGTCCATCCCATTATTCCAATCCAATTCCCATGGTTCAATATCACATAATCACAATTCCCATGGTTCAATATCACATAATCATGAAGGCCCAATTATGGCCCATCTATGGCCCAATTTTCCAAATTGGGCCCATGACTCTTACATGGACCTTATCCTAAAACCATACAATTATTTAGTCAATTTACTTATTTTTGAAAAGCCCATTAATAGTCCATTCACCAAAGCCTAATAGGAAGGCCCAAATCAAGGCCTAATTTCATATAAAATGACAATTAAGGTTAAGTATTTCTTACTTAACCCATTAAGGATTTAATCTATTAAGTTGCTTACTTTACTAAATAATTCATATGGTGTGATTGAGCTTAATACACAATTCCATTCCAATGACCCAAATATGGGTCCCGATAAGTCCAAGCCCATAATCCCAAAATTAGGGTTTTCACATGAAATGATGATTAGGGTTAAGTATTTCTTACTTAACCCATTAAGGACTTAATCCATTAAGTCCATTATTGTTTTAAATTAGTTTGCCATTTATTATTATTTAATATTTCAAGTTTATTAAATAATTCTTGTGTGTGTGTCTCGATTTCCCACAAATTATGGTTTTATGCCATTAGGGTTTTCCAAACCCTAATTAAGTTTTTCCAACCCAATACTAGCCCATTTATCAATTTGTTGAGCTTTTAGGTCAATTAGGGCTTTATTGAGCGCCTATTAAGCCTACTAAAAAATTATTAAGCCCATTAGGGTTTTATTGGGTTAATTAGAATCCATTAGATCTATTAGGGTTTCCTTAGCCCATTTGGATTCATTGGGCCCATCAGGGCTTCTTTGGACCCATTAGGGTTTTATTTACCCCAAACGAGTCGTGTCGACGAGGCAAAGCACACCGCTACCCAACACGGTGGCCGGTGGCGGCAGCCACCACCTTAAGGTGGTGGTTTTCAATTTCTTTTCATTATACCATTCATGTTACAATTTACAACTCAAGATCCGAAATCACAAACACACACTAAAGAAACTACACCAACCCATGGTGGTAGCCACCACCTCACGGTGGTGGCAGTGACTCTTCCATGAACTCCGACAAAACACCCAAACACAAGCACAAACTCCAAACTAGAGACCGGACCCCGATAAAATACGCATCCACACGAACACCAAGAGACGGTGAAGGGCAGTTTGACGGTCCTAGGGGTCGGCAGCACCCTTAGCAACCAATTTGAGCGGCGACAGATGATGGCTTCGGCTTCAACAACAACGACACAAGGCAGCGGCGATCGATCCCGATGATGTCGGTGGCGAACAGCAAGAAGGAGAAGAAAAGGGGAAGAAGAAGGCGGCGACAACGTCACACGTTAGCGGAAAAGGTGAAGTAGCAGCGCCTGGAGGCTGCTCTTTACCCCTCGTCAGTCTTCAATGTTGTCGACGACAAGGAGGCTCGATGATGACGATACAGTGGTGTCAGAACCGAGCTGGCGGACTCGTTGCTGCACCGGCGGCTGATGGGGGTTCCCATGGTGATGACGGCTACCAGGAGGATCCGAATGGGTGGTTTGACTGGTCGGGAAACTATTGTAACAGGTGGCGGTGATCCCACCGACTCCAACAGCCACGGTGGTCGCCGGTGGTGAGGATGACCAAGGCTGGTGTGGCGCCGATAATGGGAGAAGGAAGAATGTCGGTTGCCATAATACTTAGGGTTAGGGTTCTTCGATGTCATCGCAACATATATATATAATATATATATATATATATATATATATATATATATATATATATATATACCCGGATTTATGACAACCTTCCCATAATTACATACTTGGTCCCTCCCCTTGGGATCTTTTCAAGATTAATCCAATAATTACCCTTTAGACCCCGACATCTAAAATTCTTCTCACAACAACTCCGTAATTTACTAAGCAACCCTTAACTTCTCAATTATGCGTAGTAACTCCTCGAGACCAACTCTAATTATATAATTATTAATTTTAGGGCTACCGACCATTCATCAACTTTATCTATTTATTTATTTAATAAATGGAGTGTTACATTACTGATGAAGATATGTTGGAGAAAACTTACTCCACGTTTCATGCAACAAACATTACCTTGATGTAACAATATTGATTGTAAAAGTTCACAAGATCTTATGAACTGAATGCATGCCTGCTTGTT